AAATTTAAGCAATTTAGACAGATAAAAACTAATAAAACTGCTCAATTGGTCATCGTACAATCATCAGTCATGTTTGGAACCAGCCAATCAAAGTTCAAACAAAAAACCAGTTTTACTCTCACTTTTGCATGATTTTAATTTTATTGTCTCAAACTAGTTAGGTATCAACTGAAAGATGAAAATCAATTTTATACAACTTGTTCAAGTGCTATTTGGTTTACGATTGAAATGTATTAATCGAATAATAAAAATCATGTTCTTGTTAAAGTGTGTTTGTGAGCAATGCCACCAATTCTGAAAAAAAACGAGATGAAATGTACATTTAAAGAAAATTGTATAAGTTACAACGATAGATTGCTTTGGTCACGAGACGGAGAAGACCCAATGCATCTAATTTTAAACAATAACAGGTTTAATCTGGAGTTAGTGTTTGCACATATAACCCACATCAATGCAGTTCACCGCTTCAATTTCCTTCATAGAACCTCATTAAAACGCGTTAACATTATTTATTATTTCCGCTTGAGAGCACGTGAACCAATTTCGATTCAAACCGTTTATATTTATATGTACTATGCTAGCACATTTAACAGATTCAACCTTTTAATAGTGGCATTTGTGTCATATATGCCATCTATAGATGGCGGTTTAGTCATTAGTTAATCAATATCTAGCGAAAAGTGATGTTCCTAATTAAGCGGTATCGTTTCAGTTGCGTAGAATTTTTCCATCCTATCATCACGGTTGCCGTGCAAGTATTGCAATCGACAAAATGGGATCGGTACATTTGAAGTCAGAATTAGACAGAACAATGAAAACAAATAAATGTGTTGGCGTAATTGCATTCATTGTATTCAATCGTGTGGAGAATGTTTTGTAACATTCGTTCAACAACATTAACCGATGTCACGTGTTCACAATTGATATTCGCTTTCCTTTTTGTATGATGAAGCCGGAATGTATATGTAATGCGGAGTATTCAACGAGTTTTCAAAATAACACGGTCGCAGACACAACAAACTCAGAACAAATTGCATGAAATGTGATATTTGTGATAGTTGAAGGCTATAATCACATGTTTCCCTAAGCTTTCTTCGCATTTTGCGTTCGGTTTTTCTTCTGATGCCATTATATTCTATCTGACAACGAGCAATCTATAAATCAACATACGTCAATTGTGTTCAGCAATCAGACAATACTAGAGTCTGAGTGCAGTATGCACATTGTTATTTTATTGTTGTTTGTGAACTATGAGGAAATTTCCGTACATTTTGTTGGTTCGAAATATAAAAGTTCAATCGAGATCTCGACACATTGTCGAACAAATATTGAACTAGACATGATGAATAATGAACTCGTGACTCTGAAATGAATGATAACAAGTTAACTAAGTAGCAACAGGTAGTATGACATTTATTCATTTATGTATGTTTTTTGCTGCATTTTACTGGAAAAAAGAAGAATTTAATGGCTAAAGTTAACATTTTAATCACGTGCGTATTTACAATATTTGAGTTACATTGAATGCAAAAGAAATCTGTAGATAAGCAACACATTGAAAACGTCATCTAAAGAGCGTTTGCTTTCTGTTAATCATTATATATCAGTCAGCCAGTCACCAAATGCAAATGGCAAGAAAACCATAAATTTCATCGGTTATACCGTAATATGTATTTACACCGAACACATGCAAAAGACTGCATGGCTACCATATACCGTGTAGCTATTATTTAAATGCAGTCACTTGTGTGACACAACATACGGCTTGGCTGCTGCTTCCATTGAAATCGGCCTTTTTATCCATTTCTTTAATTTGCTTCCATCAGATATCTCGTGAAAGATATAAAATTCATAAGGCGATAGCATGAATGAAAATGCGGCAGAAAAAATCAGCAAAAGCTTTTAATGTTTCAAACGCTTCGGATGGATGGCGCTGACAGAAGCTCTCTGAAGCACATTAGAAGTGGTGAATGTGATTATGACAGATAATATTTGTGTTTACGTTTAGAAACGTTGACTGTCAAAGTAGAGAATGTTCTGTCAATATAAACCAAAATACCAACATGGCGGGTTAAAATGCTGTCATGGCGGATAACTTTCTCATTTAACTACACATGAAAATATCTCAAAAACGGCTGGGAAAATCGGCAAAATGGACCGTGGTGTCACTCCCTAAAGGGAGTGCAGACACCCGGCTGCTTTGATGGCCCAAAGTTCAAATCCGGTGGATTTGAGCTCATCCATGGGTTCTCGGGATTTGGCCTGATCCCAGCACTTGCCCTGTGGTGAAATTCCATACAAAACATGAGTGTGACTTGTAAAGATGCTCACAGGAAAGGAAAAGCTGGGTGTCTACACTCCCTACAGGGAGTTACACCACGGTCCATTTTGCCGATTTTCCCAGCCGTTTTCGAGATATTTCGATGTGTAAATATTTATTCTGGTTACCATTTTTTTAATGAACAAATGCTAGTCAATTTAACAACTAATGACCTTTGGTTTTGAAATGACGTCGTTTATTCCATGGACACATAAATGTCAGATGTATCAAGAGATAATATCTTATTCATGTTTCTAGAACAAAAAGTTCATTTATTTCACGCCGCCGATATTGAAATTAGTGAAATGCTTTTAGCCAGTATCGGATATTTTTTCGGAATAAACATAGTTTATGAACTAAGAATTATGTAGTATATATGATAAATGTACATCTGCTGACAGGCTTGGATGTAATTTTTTTCCAAGCCTTATGCAATGTAAAGACACTGACTTTTAGACAGATAGTGTGTTGAAAAACAGGAGTCAGAACGTTACGTGTACATATATTTATCAAAAAAGTAGTGTTGGTACCTGCGGCGTGCAAAGCAAATATGCCACCCCAAAATCAAAATTTGATGAGCAAAAAAATGGTCTTCACTTTGAAAATCAATTCTATCTAATGTACACTTGCTCTCAAATTTTTGAAAATTTTCACTTCACCAGCAATTTTGCAGTCCTCAGCAAAATGCCGCCCGAAACAATTGCTTCGCCATAGGGTTTAAAAACGCGTTATATTTTCCAGTGTTTCGAAAAAACGTTATTTTAAAGAGCCGTTTAATAACGCTCAAAAACGTTATTTTCGTTTTTTCTCGTTATTTCTGCGGTATTTTGAAGTGTCAAAATAAAACACTACAGAAAAATAACGTTTTTTTATCACCGTTTGCGGTATTTGTCGAAACTTTTGTAAACCCTACTTCGCCAGCGTCGTGCTTTGCACGCTATCGGTTGATGCATATTATGGACTTGAATATTTTTCGGTAAATACGACAGCGGAAAAATTGAATCTTACTTTCTTTATTTCAATCTTCAAGCCGTGAAACTCTTTTAAATCACTGGGGACGAATAACAACTTATATATTTCTTGAACTTTCGCATTTTTTTATTTCATTCCGTCCATATCAGTTTTGATTATGCAGTTGGTAGAATTTATGTTCTTCCAATCGATGGTCAGAGCTTTTCATAAGTTCAGTAGATGTTTTAAACTTAATTGAACACAATGTAGTGGTATCAAAGAGGCGAATATTCATAAAAAACAATGTGTCCAAAACGCATAAATACGGCATCGCATAAGGCAGTTATCGCATAAATATCGCGCGATAATTTTCTGCTTGCGTTGCCGCAATATACGATATTTCAATAGCCGTCTTACGACACACGTTCGAATTGCTTTACACATATAACGAAGCGAACGCAAGCGAGCGTCGCAAGATGACGGCCATTGAAATATCGTATATTGCGGCAACGCAAGCAGAAAATTATCGCGCGATATTTATGCGATAACTGCCTTATGCGATGCCGTATTTATGCGTTTTGGACACATTGATAAAAAAACTTACATTGTAAGTAATAAATATATTTCCAGTTGATATCCTATCAGATCTCAGTATTAATTGAAAAAAGATCACAACTTCCTCAAGTTTTTTCCTCAAAAAACCAAATTTAAGGAAATATGTGATTTTTATATTGAAACAAGATTACCTCTATCAGTGACGGTATTTTTCTTAGAACGATTAGTTGCCAGACAAATAAAGCAAAAAAGCAAATCACGCGTTTGGTTCCACTTGCAACAAATGTGCCTTCCTGGATAGGATTTACCCATGGATTATTTTAAGGATTTTTTGGAACGGACCAGAATTTCGAAAAAATACAAGGGGTGTTTTTTTGAATATTGTGCGAACGAAGTTTATTTGAAGTGTCAAAAATATTAGGATCCAGTGATTATTTAAACAAATGTCGGTTAATCACGATATTGGCCCTTTAACAGTTAAACTAGTAAATTCAAACATATTTAAGATGGTTAAAAAGTTAAAATTAGGCGAGCGTAGCGAGCCGAAAATTGTTATTCAACTACAATTAGTCCAGCGTTGTCATATGGTTGATGCATTTCCATAAAGATAAAATCTGAATCTACTGAAGCGTAGGCCCATCTTAGATGCTCGAAGCATGTCGCTTTCGAATGATATATTAATCAAATAAATAATTTCAAGGCTTTTGGAAATGCCAATATGCCAAAGATGACCGATTTTTGAATTGTGAAGCTTGTTTTGATTGTCAAAAACGACCAGACCAAAATTTCATCATGTCTTACAAATGGCCAAATTATTATTTGTGTAGTGTTTTAAGCGCTCTAAACGATGACATGTTGAACTTAGTACTGGACACAGTGATACACGTTTTTCTGCTTATTTAACGTATAAGAACGCCACAACAAGAATTACTGTTTTTTAGAAGAACATTTTAGAATTTATAAACAAGTCCGGTGTTCGGCAGATTCATAAAAAGCGAACAATCAACACATGAAAGTGTGCAGTCGATGATAGCTGATTGCATATTGCAATAAGAATATTTGCAATAATCAGCAGAATATGTTTGCTCAGAGCCGTAACCAGAACGTAATGCTTGGGAATGCTGAGCATCCAAAAAAAAAACAAAATTTCCAGATAAACTATAACAAAACCATATTTCCAGATAAAAATATTTATTGAATAAAGTGCGAACAATGATTGTTATGATTATTATGTTTTCTTAAAGAATATTAATTTTACGTTGCTTTTCATCAAAAAAATACTTAAGAATACGTTCATTTGGAATTGCGTGTAAATATTTATTTTCAAAGGCCAAAAATGAAAGATCGTACATTCGTTGCTCACTCATTGACATACGTTTGATTGTTTGTATTCGCGACAAACACGAAAAAGATGACTCACTTATAGCCTAGAGGGATTTCTCACGAAAAAAATGGATTAATTCTTATAAATTTTGAAAAATTTCTTCAATTCGGTCCGATTCGATCAATTTTTGTCTATTCGTGTAGATAAATGTACATTTACACTGGGCTTTTGAATTATGCTTCAATGAAATTGTTCTGGAAGTGGGTTTTGGTGGATCTCAAGGATCGTTCAGAACTGTTCCCGGTTCTGGAAGTGGATCTTCAGGATGGGCCAGGGCAATGTCAAACCGGATCTGGCCCATCCTGAGGATCCTCCAAAACCCACTTCCAGAACACCTTTATTCAAGCAAAATCCTCATTTCAGTACATTTTTAAACAATTTCAATAAAAAAGAAGAAATAATAGAAATTTTTACACATTTTCTCAAACTTTTTGTGTGAGAAATCCCCCTAGCTTATAGCTGTGCTCTATCCAAACGTTTCGACCATGCAGAAACAATCATAAACATCGGGAATCGCGATACGAATTTTATATAATTCTTCTAAGACATTAAATTTATAGTCTGGATCATTTTGTTTTGACTTTGCTTCCTCTCTCTGTAAATATTGTTTGGCTACGTTGATGCTGCTCTCATCAGGCAAATTTACACCAAGGGGTAGAAGTGGCTTCATTTTGATCAAATCCATTTCATATGCTGTGCTCAATGCTAACAATATTTCATTGTTTTCTTCAAAACGTCGTTCCATTTCAGAAAGAATTTTCTGAATAGTTTTGATTGAACGCATTTTCTACCTCTTTTCGCGGCTCATCTTTGGTGCTCAAACCCGAAATGTAATCATTTAAATATTGTGGTAGTCGATATTCGCCACTTTATCTCGTTCACTTGCATTATCAGAGACTGGTTGATCACTGTTTGAAGCTATTTCTGGAGCGTTATTTCGTGATAATATGTCTGAAGCACTTGAAGTCGAAGCGGATTCAACGGCGGCATTTGCTATTAATAATATATTTTTATCACATAAAGTCAAAATTACATTTGAATCACTACAATTTAAGTCCTACATACCATTTCTCTGGAAGAGACCAACAATAGTCTCTTGTTTTAATTTTTTATTCATTTCGAACACAATGTTTGCAATTCAACAATTGAAACTCAAATGAAGTTCGCTCAATTTTCGGCAGCAGCCAGAACGCCGATCGATTATGATTAATCATGAGCAAGCGATTGTATTCATTAAGTCATATACCGTTAAAACAGTTGACATAATGCATTGAATTGCAAACACAGAATTCTTTGAAATTTTTTAAGCAGTTTGTTTATCAGCTGATTGAACTGTTGATCGCAAATCTGCTGACGCGACAATATTGCGATTATGTAAATACATGGAAGATAAGCCACAGTACATTGTGTGAACAATCCAAATGGCATGAGCGAGTCTTGATTTCTTTTTCCATATGGTGATCTCACTGCGACAACGTAAGCTTCATACTCACAACAGAAAAAAGTGGCATAAGTTAAGAAGAAGAAGAATTGCACGGTGTATACTGTAGTTAACGTTGTCGCAGTGAGACGTCGCTAGCAGCAGTCATTTGACGGCTTTAATGTAAAGTAATACATGAAATCGAGGCTTGGGCATGAGACTAAACAATAGTGAGTGAACGATATATTGTACATTGCATTTTGGATATAGCTTGCTTCTTGCTCTTGAAATTATAATAATCGACTGGTTGTTCTTATTATTGATAGCTGAGCTAATTTCATTTGAATTTTGCATATAAATTGTAGAATAATACAATTTTTTTCTGAGTCGAGCATGCTTCGGGCATGCTCAGGCAATTTTTGGGCATGCTGAGCATACTCCGCACCACTCTGGATACGGCTCTGTGTTTGCTATTTCGCTGTCTACCAATATGTCGAAATTTAACTCGTTCTCTACCAAGTGTTCGAAAAATTAAAACATTTATATGGGAAATAAAGTGTTCGGAAAAAATGGTTTAAATTCAGTCATTCTGAAAGAATAAATTTCGAAAAAATGCTTAGGAAAAGGTCAAAACATGATCAAACAAATGAAGACTTACGGACCATTTTCCGATTTAGAGCGGATCATTTGACTTTTACAACGGACCATTTGGGCAAGAACGGACTACCTAAGATTTAGAAAATTGCCACATTCAAAAGCAGAAAATTGGACATATTTGTACTAAAATACTCTAAAAATATTGCCTCGTTTCTATGTGGAATAAAGATTGATAAATTTCCATGTAGTTATTGATTTTAGTGTGATTCTTGTCTACATTCTTGACTCCTAATCAAAATTCCATTACTTCCGCCCTATTTGGATCCTATCATCTCATTTACGCGCCATTATCTATATAATATCGAAATGGAATATTTGGTCGTATTCTAATTTTGAAAATTATGATAATGATGATGAATTCCAATCACTTTGATCTCTTGTTCATTCAATTATAAGTTCAACGAATTCAATAAAAAAAAACTCTAGGTATGGACTCATTAACATTTTGTTGAAAATACCTTAAGCTGTTAATATGATACGTGCTTCATCCTGCTGCTAAGATATTGTCGAAAAATAAAATCTTTCATACACGCTATCACTGATTGCAATATTTTTACGCACTCAAAATATGTATGGCATTGTAAAAGAAATTACCATACTACACAAAAAATTGTATTATAATATACACATTTTAATACCAGTAAAGTCTGGATAATTCCTAAAATTATTGTTATTAAATAGGCGATGCGCACATTGATAGCATACTAAAAATAGATAGCTAAAGTAAGTATACGACAAAATGCGCATTGATCATATTATGATGAGTTTCCGCCAAATTATAGTGGAAGGTATTTTATTCCACTTGCTTCATATATTTACTCTTGTTTGGTGGTATGTCGACGAGCAAACGTGTGCCCACAGAATAGTACTATGATTACTACATCGTACAGTTTTTGATAGTAGAAAAGCTGTGGACGTAACTAAAGTTCACGTTAAAATTAGCCATTCCATTCCTTTCGACCGTATTCAGCTGGATTTTTATTGATTAAATCAAACTTGCTTGAAAACATTGGATTCTTTGTGAAGACTTTTCTTTTTACGCTAATTAATTTGTGTCACGCCTACTATCGACACCAATCCTGGACACCTAGTGGAAATGAAGTAATTACAATCCATTTTCAGGGGTTATTTCCATTCGCCAATAATTGTCATTAATTTCCAATCTATTGAAGAAGGCGAAAAATTCGACCATATAAAGGAACTTTGCTATGTGTGCACACAAAATCCATTGAATGGTACGTATATTCGCAAATATATGATTGGTATTGGTTGCTAATTGAAGATTTCATTGTACTACAGTCGCTGTCGCTTAAGAGTCAAGTTGGGATTGGCACAAAGAGTGTTAAATTACGTATGGTGATAAAATTATAGGTGACGCGTTCGGAAACACGTGATATCTTCAATGAATGAATGAGTCAATTTACTGCGTCTTACAACAACAATGCTAGATACGAATTTCCTTTGAAATGTATCATGTAAAATGTAAAATCAACTTATTCATGCTATTATACGATGTTAATTAAATCCATTATGAATTTTGTTTGTTGAATGGATGACAAAATGAATATCAAATGTTTGTGCTGCAATTTATAGATGTGGAGTAAATTTTTCCATGTGAGTGAAGTCATGTGCACTCACTTAAATGTTTATTAACTGTTTATTTACTATTTATTCCCTTCATATCATTTGTGTTTCTGTAAAGTACAACGTTTTCACAATATTTTCAATACATTTTATTTTTAGCCAAAAACTGAAGATATCCGTCAACTGACTCAATCTGAGATGATTAATTATGGTTATCCAATGGATAATATCCATAGTATCTGTGACTGACCAGTTAACGTATGAGTGTTTCAGAAAATTTTTCACAAAATTCCACCTGGATTCGATAGTTGAGCTCAAATGATGACGATTGGTACAAATATAACTTCCCCCAGTTCACAGGGCGGTTCCCCAGGAGCCCCCAAAGTATGAAAAATCGGCGATTTTCGAAAATCTAATTTTTAAACGGCTGGGAATTTTGCTATACTCTAACATAAACATTGCTGAACATGTCACCCCAAAAAACCACCCCTTTGAGTTTTAGGGTGACTTAAAATTGACCTATTTTCAAGAGTGGTTTTTATATTGAAGGGGTGGTTTTTTTGGGGTGACTTGTTCAGCAATGTTTCTTAGCTTGTCAAGATCTACATCTTTGCCGAAGAGAGAATAGCAAAATTCCCAGCCGTTTAAAAGTTAGATTTTCGAAAATCGCCGATTTTTCATACTTTGGGGGCTCCTGGGGAACCGCCCTGTGAACTGGGGGAAGTTATATTTGTACCAATCGTCATCATTTGAGCTCAACTATCGAATCCAGGTGGAATTTTGTGAAAAAATTTCTGAAACACTCATACGTTTACTGGTGAGGGTGAAATTGCCAAAATTGATTAGATAGATAAGTTGATAAGTTATCTAGTCTCATGGAGCTTTAAAGATTATACAAGTTTCGTATGTAGTTGTATATGTGTATAATTATGAAATTGATTATTCACATTTTCATGAAACATTCCCGCCTTTGGGAGATATCTATTTTTTTTCAATGCTATCTACAATATGAAACAAATTCTATCGTAGATCAAATATTAGATGTTTTGGCTGTAAGTAAACAATTTTGTTGCTCCTACTAAAACGTGATTATTTGCTTAACAATCAAGTGTCTGAAGTCTCGTGATGAGTTGCGTCATAAATCGTTCTAAGGTACTCTTAGAATCACTTTAGGATTTCTATATGTCTTAGTTGTCAAGCTTCTTTCACTCTTCAAACCAATAAATTTTTGGGAAACATTTCAACAACGAAAAATGTTTTATATTCAGATATATCACAAAAAAGGAATTTATTCCTTATTTGTATAAATGATATCGAAAATATACATTGTTTTGATGGAAGAAATTGGTTCGATTGTTCAAATTCCAAATTACATTTTAAGTTCTTAGGCATGCTGAGAGGCAGAATACATTATGATTTTGTTCCATTTGTATTGCTTTTTTTAATTTCAGGCACGATTTACACCGTTGGCAGAATAAACCGCAATTTACTCGGTTTACTATATTATTTTGATTAGAATATAAACGTCCGGTATAGAGAAAAAAATGCGTAGCTGGAGGTCGTAGCGAATAAAGCTGGGCACATGCAATGGAGTTCACGCACCGTTCATGTCAATCAAATTATGTACTTGGTGATCGTAATTTAGAATTGATATCAATTCATTATATATTGATCACACAATATTCATCGATTCAAAGGATACTCTAATGACTCTTCGTGATTCCTTATCATTTGTTTCGGTTATAATTGAACATTTTTCGGCAGTTTTTAAGAAAGTGACACATTGATTGACACTTCAATATAAACATCACTAATCGATTAGATTACACGACAGTTCTATTCCAAATTATTGTTCATTATTATATGAAGATCATGCATTTAATTACATGGACATCATAGATGAGATGATTTTTTTGCTGCCAATAAAATGACGATGGCGATTTCGTCCATAATTAATAATGCCTTAGGAAAACCAATCAAGCTTGTATCATATAGGAACATATATATTCATCCACATCAAAATATTCCACCAGAATTACAAATCAAATGTAATTGCTGTTCAATACTTGAGTTGCACAATGATTTTATCTAATATTCTGTTTTTTATCAATTTGTAGCCACTAATGACAAGAATGAAATGCGACTTATTTGAAAACGTGCGACTGCCACAAATATTTATAGACGTACCCAATGACTTTTGGGGAAGTCATTTTTTGTTGAAAATACAATTGCGGTTTTTCATTTTAGGAAGCACTTTTGTTAATAAATAAATATACGCTGCTATATATTCTGTGGTTAAGTTGTGTGATCGGCAGCCAACAATAATAAACAATAAATGTTATTGCCACATTGGTTTTGCTGCTTGTTGATTGACTTTCCAGATACTTTAAATTACAACGCAAACAACTGACGGTTAAATAGCGTTGCGCTTGAGGGTGACTCGCTCAGAACGAAACACTAGAATGACTTCGTTTGAAAATAATCTATAAATTTGATACTTCTGAAGCGAATCCGAAGTGTGAAAAAGAGCATCGGAACTGTTGGGGCGAGATTTTCCAGTTGAAATGTTGTCAGTTATCTCTGTTTTTATCTTTTCAAATGATTAGAATTAAATCATCAGAAATTTGGCGCTCATGGGTACAAATTAGATAAGGTGTTCACCTTTGTGTAAATTTTTATTATTTCCAATTTGAATGTTCATAGTTGAGATGTTTTTTTTTTTCAAAATTCTTCACATTTCATGCATCTCAATTATGGAGTACATTGAGGGACTATTGCAGGTTGGAGGTAAGCAAGAAGATTTCTCGTAAAAATCAATTGAATTGTTGCGTCATATATACTTGATGATATGTGTATAACGCGAAATTCTATTTTTGTGATGATTTAAATCAATTTCTCCATGACCGTCACAAAGGTTATGCGACATTGGGTTCATCAAAATCTGTATTTTTGGTACTTTATATATTTTTGTAATTCAGATACGAAAAATATTGGAAAAGAACGTGTTTAAACATTCTACTGCAAACGAGCTAAAATTTTACGAATTTCGTGGAATGTCTTATAAAATTATCAAAAATTTTATGGAGTACGTTTATGGAGTTTACGTTCATCTAGAAAAGAAACGAGATTTTTGAAATCGTGTTAACAATATGCTTATCTAGCATGTGTCTCGGTATATTTAATATTTTATCATGATTTTGATAGCCGGTAAATGGAAAGCCATGTTCAAAAATGAACTAAAAAAATCTAGAAATAAAATAGCGAAGTTTGGCCCATAATGTGGTACCAACGATGAGGTGACGACATGAAAATGAAATGTTTTCATAGTATTTGAACACTTGAATGATGTCAACGAGATGAAGTCTCTGACTTTCTAAAACCGACACTTTGCACTCTCATCGGTTCATTTTGTTTTCAATTCGGTAATCCAAACAAAATATGTCAACCGTTTTGCCAATGGAACTAAATTGGTAAACGCATGTCAAAATAGAAAATCGTCTAATTGGTATTCATTGCACAGTTGCGAAATTGCGTTATAAACTCAGGCGAACGAAAATAAAGACGATAAAGCAAAACAAAATTGTGGACACATTTGACATTGAAAGTGTCTGTTAAAAAAACGAGTTTCAAAATGAACGTTCTTGCACCGCACAAAATAAATGAAAAACAAAGATTACTTACCATTATGTGAGTGATAGCCCCAATGAGTAGACATTGCAAATGAGATACGATACCGTTTGAATGAAAAATAGCAAAAAAAATGTGTAAACACAGAAAATATATTGATTATTGCTTTGATGAATTGAATTGAGCCGAAGACTGAAGTGTTACTCTTGCTATTTTTTATAACATAGACTGTATGCGAAGAAATTCAGAATTTCACAATCCACTTGAATGCTGGTTGTTTTATTTTACTTGATTGCACAGCAAACCGTTCAAAAATGTCAATACACTCAGTTGCTTATTTTTATTTATGTTTTTCTTAACATGGTTTCAAAAATGGTAATGAAATTCAATTTGGTCGATCATTTAACTCTCCAATGTTTATTTTAAATTCTCAGTTTTAAAATGTTAATCAAGAAAAAATAAAAAAGTTGTTGTTTGTTGAAACGCACAAGACGGACAGCGTCTGATTCATCGGAGTCTTTCGAGTAAACTGATCGCTTTAGTGGCGAAATGTAACGTTACTCGGTTTATATGCTGATATAATTTCAAACTACTACACATTTACGACAATGTGCGTGTAAAAGGTTGCGAATCCATAAAGCCTGTACGGCTTCACATTGAACATGCATACTCTACAACGCGACAGCAATAAGTGCCTCTCTTTCTGACAACCACCATTTTCTTGCTTGCCCTTTTCTCTTGAAAAAACTTATCCGCTGCTTCAGAATGTTTTATGTTTACGTTTTTTTGTGAACGAACGTGTTCGGCTCGTGCTCGTGTTCAACACAGCGGCGACGTCTTCCATAAACAAACGACTGTTAACGCACACGCCGCACAATGGGAGACCAATACACATGCAAGGTGCTATTTCTGTAACCATATACTTCATTTGAACAGCTGAAAATGTATAGGATCCAGTATCCAAAGCAAAACTTGCATCTATATTTTAAATATATATATATATATATATATATATATGTTGTATGTGTTTGTAATTACACCATGACGCTTACGATAGACACATACAGTCACCGAAAAAATCTGTGTTTTTTTTTATTTTGAATCATACAAGTGACTGTTAGACATCTTTGGAGAAGGCAAATGCTTTCTATTCAATTGAGTATTTGCATGAATGATGTAGTATGATGTCTCCACACACCTCCATTCATATTGGAATCTTTGATGAAATTCTTGCTGATTCAATCTAAGTTAAAATATTTGTGTGTATTTGGTTTCAACGCCGAATTTCAGCTTGAGCTTATGTCCAAAAATGAATTAATACGATTGGGCTACGAATGGTCGCCTTGTGTTGCCCAAATGAACAATAAATGTTTACAAGAATAAATTATATATCATATATGGACGAAAATAAATACTTCGATTGAATACACGGAACAAACCAAAATTGAAGAACTGTTTTCAATGTGCCAATGAACTGTTCTGTAGCGCAAAACTTCGTTCCCAACAAATACATTCTTGGTGAAATAAAAAGTCACATATGAAAGTCAATTTGTGATATTTACATGCAATACTTGAGTGAATTGTGTGACTCTTCCATTTCTTGGTAATATTCGCTTTGTACATATCTTACTACTACGAATAAAGAGGCAGGTAATTGGAAGTGTGCAAAGTGTGGAAGCAAATGTGTCGTTGAGAATAAAAATGGGATTAGCCGAAACCGCGTGTTTTTATGCGAATCATTTTTGTATTTCTGGTACGAGATATGATGCAAGCGAAGGTCCTGCATCTAAGCGTCTGACAGCTCACTTCTAGCGCTACGAGACAAATGTCAAAAGTTGTGACTCAGATCGTTCAATGTTTACCGCAAACTATTGAATCTTTTTTATATTTGTTAATAAAGTAGACAAAAAAAATGTCACGAATGTGAAAAATTGATTTTTGTGAGAGCGTAGCACGTGATAAACACGAGGGGGAAATCACTTAAAAGTAATTGAAATGTCAAAAGTTATTATGATAATAGAGAAGTAATTTTTCCCGAAAACAGTAATTGAGGTACAAAAAGTAATTGAGGTAGATGTCATTGAGACACTTGGACATAGTTTGGTTATGTCTGTTCGCCATAAACTACATACCCGAAGTATTATTGAATTCTTGACTCAAAAGAAATTTGTGTAGAATTTATTTAATACTTTCGAAATACTCAACTAAAACTTACTTCAAGCTCAATTTTTTATCTTCTGGTATTTCAAAACCAATGTTTGACAACGTCAAACTTTGACATAAACGTCTAATTACTTTCGTAATTTACTAAAGTAATAGCGTGCCGAAAAGTAATAGAAAAAGTAATTTGATAGTTTTGAGAAATAATTGGAAAGTAATTCAAAGAATGATTTCCCCCTCGGATAGACATCAATTTAAAAAAAAATGTTTTTTTCATTACGACACATTGTTGATGCGTTCAATTTGTCGCGTTCATGAGTGTGTCTAACGACGTAAAGGAATTGAAATGAACTTCTCTGAATGCGCTTATCGCAAATTCGTGTTTTTCTTTGTTTTGTTAGTGTTATGCAGAGCTTGTGGATGCAAGTATCTCAAGCAAAGATGAAGATGAAGATCTTGAAATGTTCTAAAACATTGCAGAAGACATATGTCTTCTATCTCTTACAAGGAACACAAAAATGATTCACATGTAAACGAGTGGTTTTGGCTAATCCAATTTTTATTCTCAACGACACATGAATTATGTCGATATTTAGATTACGCCGGCAGTTATGCAATTTAAAGACTTCAAATTAAATAAAGAAAATCACATCCAATTTTTTCAACACAAACAGTGCTTGTCAATCAGACTTGAACATAGATAGATTTTAAAATTTATTTGGATTGAAAGAAAGGTATTGTCCTATAATAAAACGTGATAATTTCATGCATATGTATGCCAGCCAATCTTGTATGGTCCACATAAATGACTTTTCATATCCGATAGTAGAACTGTGCGCTCTATGTGATTTGTACATTTGGTTTGTTCAACAATTGTTTACTAAAATATTTTTGTCACACTCCTTTCTTGATCCACTCACACATATTTGATTAGAGATGCACATAAGATGCGTACAGTGATGCATACTCAAAGAATGAATTCTCGAAAAGAAAATCGGAGAAAAAAACAAAAATTTACTCTATGGCAAATGAAACAAACTGAACAATGTGTACAATTTATTGTGTAAGTACAAAAGTAAACAAAGAACATAACTGAGAGCCGCACTCTCGTGTCATCACTACATATTTTCAGTCGGTTAGTTGCTTATGAGTCGTACTCGACAACGCGCTCGAATTATATACCATTCAGACAAGAAAACAAACACTATAAAATACAAAGAAAAAACCAAAAAACCAAAATGTTCCATTTTTACTTTCTTATGCATTGAGTTGGATTCGCTTAAGCGACAGTTCAAGTTAGAACGTCATAGCATTTAGTCACATTTTTGATATGTGAAAATTTGGATTGTAATAATCGTTTGGGAGAGAAGATCAGTTGAATTGTTAAATGATTTTTGAAGATGCTATAAGTAAAAAATGGCCCATATTCCGTTTAATTAAATTTCATTTTTCAAGTTTATTCATTTCAATCACAAGACATTTTTCAGTTCTGTAAAGAAATTAACACAAGATGTATTGTTATTTTTAAAAAACCGAAATATGATTGTTCAACAAGTTAATATTTTACAAAACAAAGTGAAAAACGTGGACTTTTGTGGAATTGCATGATTTCTATAGTTCATAAAGACTGTATTTTATTTGCAACGACCAGAGTCGAATCTGAACAAACTTACTTTCAAACATATGAAAATGTAAATAAAATCGTGTTTTTCCCACAAATACCGATTATTATTATGAACAGTGTGAAATAGAATGAAGCTGTTACGTTATTATCATACATAGAGGTCTTCGTTCGTTGACTTTTGACTTTGAACCAAGTGCAAAAAAGACAACAGAAGCAGAACTGATAGAAATTAACTTTCTACAACGAAATATGCATTAATAACAAAAGCAGAATACTTAGAACTGCATTGATATGAAACGGTATTATCGCGAATAAAAACATGCCGTTTTAGACGATAGTGATATAAGTGCAGCAATTGCACCGCTTTTCTCTGTGCATTAAAAATAATGAAATCCAATTGAAAACTCTTGGGAACAATGAACAAATACAAGAGAATGCTCTAAGTACATAACGAAATGAAATAGAAAAAGAAAACAAACGTTTCACACTTCATAACGCCGAGAAAAAAAAACGAAAATAAACATGAGTACATCGATGCACGCTGTGGATAGTTATGTAAATGATACTGGAGTGAAAGTGCCGTTCAGTTTTTTTGAAAAGAATATCATTCCTTTTTTTGGGGCCGTCAAAACAACTGAAGATTTACTGCTTTGGATGTTTATTTCAATTTTGATCGGTTTCTGTGCTATAATCAACTTGCTTGTGCTAGTATCAATGTTAAGAATTAAGTGCAATGGTGAGTATGTACGCTAGTCAAAGTCTCACGCACAAAGAATGAGAACGCATTTTCCTCGCATGAGCACAAAAATGAGATTTTTTGGTTCCTCGCGACTCACTCCTCCATTGAAACTAGTCTATACACACAGGGAAGCAGGGCATATTTTAAGGAGTTTTTAGAACTACCGGAAAGATATAAAAAGATGAAAATGCGGCAAACTATAGGCAGGGTACAAATTTTTTTAGGAAAATTTACTTTCGCCCATATGGGCATATACATTTAAATAGTTCATGATCGTAACATGAAAAATGTGAATTTTAAATGCGTTTTTCTTGCAAAAATGATAAGAGATAATGAATTAGTGTGTTCAGCAATGCTTTGGAGCCTAACTAATTCTATAACTTTGTTGAAGATAACAATTCATTATCCCTTATCATTTTCGCAAAAAAAAACAAAAAAAGCACATTCCAAATTCACAAATTTCATGTTACGTTTGTTAGAAACCTATTGGAGCGACGATGTTAGGTTTTTAAAAAACAAATTTACTGTAATAATACAAATTTTATTCTCAGCTCACGATTCAACTATCAATGTCACGTGCATCGCATTAAAAATTGACACCGAATGATTTGCTACTTCCAATATCGCATTATTTTTTCGTATTCTACTCGTTGAGCATTGCAAAGTGTTCGGTAGCAGTACCGTAACTCTTTTCGAAAAAAATCGCCATTTTATTTTTTTTTAATAAATCGCTTCGATTTCTTTCCAGCAGATGCAGCACTCTTAATTCATGTTTAATTTTGCGGTCTCCGTTATCTAAAATAATGCTCGTCAAAATGCATAGAAACGATATAATATTGCTTCTAAATAATACCGGCTTAAAATATGTTTTTAGCATCGTTAGAAGCAAAACGTACAAAAAAATATTTCAATTATATGTAAATTTTCAACTACCGCATTTTTTGTTGAGAACTACCGGATTAGGATTTAGAACTACCGGAATCCGGTAGAACTACCGGTTAAAATATGCCCTGAGGGAATAATGAATAAGATATTTGGTACAATGGATTTTATTTCGTAAAAATAATCCCAAATTAGGGTATCTAAGGAAAAATTTATTTTTTCAGACAAAATTTGTTTGGAAGAAAATAAATTTGGTTTTAGATATCTTAATTTTGGATTACGTTTACGAAAAAAACCATTGTACCAAAAATCTCAACCATTCTTCCCTGTGTGCAGCTATTTATTTTTTTGAACAAACATATTCGATGTTCCACAAGAATAAAGTCGCAAATTAAAGAAGAGGATTGTATAAGTGTACCATCCAATTTTAATGCACTTTTGACATTTATCTGTTCATGTGTGTACCTTACCAGTGGTATCATCTGTTTTTTTCTTCTTCAGAAAGTTTCAATTATTTGAACTTTCATTGTTTAGAAATTTGAATGAAAATATCAAACTATATTGAACTGACATAGGAAGAATGAAATGAACATGGTTTCATAAAAATGTTATGAATGTGTTGGTGTGAAACGCTACCTTTTATCTACCTTGTGTAAGCATTTTACGGAATAATTAACACTGAAGTAATCATTTCTTTTCTTTTATCACAGGAACGCATTATATATTGCTGCAATTAATAATTGTCGATTTGATATCGTTGATTGAAGTGAAATGGGAATTATTCTATATAAATCATCGATCATGGCTAGGTTCAATTGAATGGTCATGCCCAGTTTACTTAGGAATAGATGCCCTCACTAATACAGCACAAATATTCTTTATTATTGCGCTAAATTTTCACTCGATTTCGACGTACAATCTAGGTTGCAAAACAGTTCAGAGAAACAAAGAAAAACTATTATATTATGAAGCGGAAGCGCTTGAAAATAATATCAGAGATCTCTGTGATGTGTTTGATGAAAGCGATCGTACCTGCAGTCACAATTCTGCATCGGAAATAGAAAATCGCGCGAAGTTTCATAGGGGAAGCCATCAACGATCTATCTATATCGATTATAGTAAACCGAAGAGCCGAATATCAGTTTTACTTCCAATAATTTTCATATGGTTGCTGGCATTGTCGATGTCGGTGCCTTTGTTTCTATTCGGACGAATTATACCAACGCTCAATAGCAGCGAAAGAATATGCGGATTGGTGGTAATGAATAACACCTTCCTTCTACAGATTTTATTGATCAAAATGAGAATTGTGGTGCCAACACTTTGTTTAGTTCTAAGCACAATGCATGTGATTTTGAAACTATGGATGGCCAAGGAGAAAGCATCAAAATTCTTGGTGATAAACAATTCAATAGATATTCTCAAATTAGCATTGTCGTTAGCACTCATTTATATACTATTCTCGATGCAACGCATCTACGGCTCATTATTGTTTGAACTGATCTCTCGCCCAATGATGGAATTCAAATACGGAAAGTTTAACAAATTGATAGGTATCACTGGCAGTATAATACACTACACATCAATTTTCATTCGACCACTCATGTATGTTCGTTTTGAAAAAACACTGCAAATAAATTTATGGAAAGGATGTTTAATGAAAGGATGACGAAAATGATTAATTAAATGACAGGCGGAAAACAAAATATTCGGACAATGTTTTTGTCATGATTGTCCTTCGTTTAGCGAATAATAATAATAATATGTAAAATTGTATTAATAACAACATTTACTTTACGAAAGTGAAATATGAAGCGAGGAAACTGTGTTCGTTTTTTATTCAAAAAATTTCTTGGACGAAGCAAAAGCATTGACCGTGTGTAAATCAACAGAAGTAAGTACAAAATTTTTTTTTTTTGACTGAGTTCATCGAACCGAGTTCACAGACTCGAACCGAGTTCACAGAAATTTCAACTCAAAGCAATGTACTACTACTTTTGTGCGGAAAAAGATGTGTGATTCACACATGAGAAGGAATGCATGTTCCAAATTTCCTTCATATTTCAATTTTATCATAAGTTTTCATAGGTACAATGATTTATTTTAATTCTTAAATTATATCATTCGTCAGCACGGAAATTTGATTATTCACATGGGGAGGTTAATTGTAATGGGATATGACAAATACGGAGAAGTAGGTTGTTTGAAAAAAAAACATTTTATTGGAAACATTCTGCTTCATGACATATCAAATGTACATTAGGGTGTTCAGCTAATCTGAAAAAGAAGAATGAATAGCATAAATTTAAAGAGAAGCCAATTTTATGTCAACTGGTAGCATTAATAGAGCGTTATACAATACTTCCAGAAGAAAAAAAAACTCTTTGCAAAATCGAATAATGCTTACCTAAACGACCCACTAGAGTACTCCTGCGCAGTTAACATCAACCAGATGGGGAGTCAACTTGCTTCAACGCAACTATCCCACATGATCGGGATAGCCTTTAATAACTAATGTTACATTTGTTTTTTTTTGTTTGCAATGTGCTGATTAGACAGCATGATCAGCTGGCTGTTGGTCGTACTCGAACATTTCTACATCATTATCCACGATGGCGATAGCAGCAGCGGCTGCTTCAGCGGTTGCTCTAGCGGCAGCAGCAGCGGCAAAAGCAGCGGCAACAGCAGCGGCTGCTTCAGCAGCTTCGCGCCAATACCTATTGATCGCCTCTGGTATCGGAAGTCCCAGTAATGTCCATAGTCCTGAACAATTAAACAAATGAACCTTCTTAAAAAATCATTCAATCAAAATTGTGCGTCAATTAGCCTTACCTTTCAGTAGAATGTTCTTAGCAGCCACGACATCACGATGCCAAATCACAGAGCATTCGAGGTTTAATCGCCAGTTTTTGTAGTAACATTTTACTTTTGGGAATAAACGCTCGTCTCCTACCAATGCTTCTTCGTTCATGGCGCGTTGCAACTGTCGGTAGATCGATAGATCCGTTTTGCCCAACTTTGACACAATTTTCGTTGGCAGCAATGTTCTGGCGTCGGGTACGCATCGGCATTTCTTGAATCTGGCCGCTTTGTTCTGGTTTTGGAATCGATTCATACATCTTGCGTCGGTTTGAGATGTTCCCCATTCGTCCACCAATTGTATGAAACAATCTCGGCGCTTCTTTATTGACCTCAAAGTCAAACGAACCCCTGGGCAGCGCACGTGCTTCTTGATACTTATTGGGCTATCAGGTGGTATTTCGCCATCAGCACCAAAAAAGAACAGAGTCGGTTTCTTATCGGTCACCTTATTCACCCATTCGTCGACAACACTACTGCTCTTGATGTGTTTGTCCAAGGCGAGTCGAGTGTATTTGGCAGTCGAGTAAGCGCAGATTCCATGCTTCATCATCTTGACTCGGTGTTTGATGTAGTTCAGCCACATTGACCCTTTTGGCGACGGCATCACTGGATACAGATCACGGTTTTCTCTGTCTGCGCGCTCCATTTCGACGAAATTTTTGGTCCATCGCGCTGCTTTGGCATTTCGCACCTTTTGACCTGTTTACCAGTGGAATTGCTTGCTCGACATTACAAAGTTGGTCTGAAAAAATAAATAGAAAAAAAGGTATAGTTATTGAGTTTTGGCACTTGAGCATTTTCTATTAAAATACACACAACTTATTCAAATGTATACAAAACTTACTTCTTTGCCAGTTTCAATGTCGTGTGTTGTTGTGGTATTCCAACTTCGCACACCTGAATCAACGCCCGAATAATTTTTGATTGTGCCATCCTTAATCTTCTGAATGATGCGTGATTTTTGGTCGATTTCTTTGTTGGCTGTCTTCTTTTTGGCCGAGTACTGGAGAGACACAGAGATTCCATCGGTGTTTATGGAAAAGTCAAACTGCTTTTTGGCACGCACGAATCGTCGAATTTTTCGCATGTAAAAATACTGATTCCACCAATAATCTCTGTCCCGATTGAAATCCTTTTCTGGAATAATTATTGTGCTTGTTGTTCCTTTTTTATTCTCAATTTCCACTTTCGGCAACAATTTTTGCGAAGACAACACCTGTCGCATGGATGTACAATCGATTCTGAAGTGCGTACGCCGGAAATCACACACCGGCACCACTACTAAATTTCGAATCAATGGCCGAAAATCTGGGTTGTCGAGCATTTGTCTGCGCTTGCGTTTCCATTTTCCTTTTGTCTTTTTGCGCTTTCGTTTCTTCCGTTTCGATCGGTGTTGATGAGGCCACATCGCATGGTATTCTTCTATCTCACGTTGCATGGATAGATACATCGGCATGGCCTTATACCAATGTTTTGGGTCAGTTGTAAGGTCATGCAGATCGATTTCTGGGAACACATTGCAATCTCTCACGATATCATACAACACCTCACACCGTACAAGTTTGTTTGGATCGCGACTTGGAACTTTGATATCTTTTTGCTTGATGATCAACTTGACAACATTTTCGATGTCACTTGGCAAAAATTTCTCTCCATCCACTTCCAAGTTTGAGTTCAATTCGAACACTTTCAGTACCAAGTACTGGGTGATGTGTTTGTTAGCATGCGTTTCAAGATTGGTGACGACGTTGTCTGTGTACTGATTGGTCAAATGCTTGAGGCCATTGCCGAAATTTTTGTTGTTGGGCCAATCGATACGATGATAGTCGTCAAGACCTTCGACAATTGCTTTGAATTGGGGATCGATGGGTGGCAGCTCTGCTCGTGGTCCTCGTGGATTTGTTCCGCTTGGTTTATACTTTCTCTTCGGTTTCGGTGGCTGATTGTTGTGCCATAGCACTTGTTCAAAGCAGAGTTTGATCTTATCTTCTCCACTTCCACCAAACAATGCGAAATTATTGTTCTCGACGCCTATATTCGAATGCCTTTTGCACCTCAAACAAGAACAGCAATGAGCCCAAAACACAAATGGAAGTGGCTTGCTAACTCAGATCCGTTATTTTGCTCATCAATGCTTGCTGGTATTGTGGGCGAATGATTGTCTTTAGCGCACATTTGATCGTCGTAATTTCATCTTTCGTCTCTCCCTCCGCTGGTATTGATGGCTTGAAACGATTCGCCATAGTCCTACTGAAAGAAAAAAAACACACATTCGATTTAGTTTGAAAACGAATAATATTGAAACTTAAATACGATTTAGTTTGAAAATGACAACAGAATGAGACACACAAAAATGACTTCGGTTTGATAACAATGGCATTGATTCAATTTGAGTTCGAACAGTAATCGATTAACTGTTTCTCTTCTCCGAACAATGGACTCAATTCATTGCATAAAATGAATTTCACCATCACACGTATTTCACCATCACATGTAACAGAACTATGTACTGCAGAATTATTGTGAAATTCATTACTTTTGTACATGGAATCTAATATTACTGTTGATATGTTCAATATATTTCACGTTATAAATGCTTATATTACGTTTTTAAAATGAATTCCACAATAAGAAGAAGAGATTGAAATGATCAAGTTTACTTACACTTTGGCGACTTGAATTCAATGTGAACTCCGGATCAAATCGATACAAAACGCACGTAAATCGAAAATAATACGAAATGAAATACCAGCAAAATCGTAGATAAATTAAATTGCAGTGTAAATTTCCAGTTTAAATTGTAAGATAAAATGTAAGAGTTTTAATTTGTTGACTTGGTGTTCACAACGCTGTATGTTTTCTCGGAATGAATGATGCGGCGTCTGTGACATTTCGAAAACTGCTGAAGTGAATGTCAAATGTCATAAGGATCGGTTCACATTGCCAATTTTTAGAACATTAGACAATTTGAGCTACAAAGAGTCAATTAGTACTAACACATAAAAACGGTTATATTTCGGTGAAATTCCCAATTTTTAGCAATGAAGGACGATTTATTGTTTGATTCCGATTTTTTGGGCCGAAATCTACGAAGAAATCATATATTCTTATTTGACTCCCCAAACCTGAACACCCTAAATTGACTAGATCGAGAGGAGAGTATGTGAAAAAATTCGAATATATTTTGAAAGAGGAGAGTATGATTTCTGTTGATTCTATCTGCGTTAAAAGGAAGTATGTTGGCATCCCGTCTAGCCTCCGCGGTTTTTCATGGTTTCCGCGGAACTGATAAAAGATAACAACATGGTGTCTTCGGCAAAGTTGTAGTACTCGAGGTCTTCTATAACATTGCTGAAGATATCTATCTCTTATCTCTTATCAGTTGCGCGCAAATCGCGCACATAAAAAAGCAAATTTTATATAGAACTTTTTTTTCTTATCATTTTTCGCGCTTTTCGCGGAACTGATAAGAGATAAGAGATAATTGACTTCAGCAATGTTATAGAAGACCTCAACTGCTACAACTTTGCCGAAGACACCAAGTTGTTATCTCTTATCAGTTCCGCGGAAACCGCGGAAAACCGCGAGGACCCGCCAAAAATGAACATACTCGCCTTTAACCATTTTTGAGTCGAAAGAAACTTACTCTCCTCTTTCGTAACAAAGTCAGATGAACTTACTCTCCTCTCGATCTAGTCAATAGAATTGTACATTTGTATCCAAATACAAAATAAATTATGCCCCATTTTTCACGCTTTTCGCGAAACTACTGTAACTATCATATTGAGTTTGCGACGCCAAACCGTTATTTCTTATGAGATATGCATAAAATAAAATAATCGCATTAAAAATGAATATGATCAAAATAGAAGCTTAATCTCCTCTTTCACAACAGAAATAACTCTTACCCAAAGATATGTAAGATACTTCAAAATACTTTGAGTTGTTGGAAGTCATCTGTATTCGCTCAACATAGTCTAACAACGATCAATTTGTTAAATTTCTAATGTGTTCATAATGAGTTCTTGGCCTATTCAACTTAATTGCGGTCTTGATTGTACGCAAGATAATTATGCTGTTTGAACTGCACTAAATGACAACAATTCTTTTTATTTTGAATATTGGTTGCGTTCCATTGAAAGTGCGAGGAAACCGAGAAAATCTTCGATATATATTTTATCGATCTGACACTGATTAAAAATCATACACGATGAAGATCTGTCTTCATCAATTATTTTTGAACGGATTTCAATTTACATGAATTGAAGAAGTCTTATTCTGAAAGCATAGATGGCGACACTAACAATCCAACTAAACTGACAAATGATTAACACGTCGCATGACAATTTACTTTCTTTTCTCGTTGACGCGTAGACAGTAGCTTCCATCGTATTCATTGGGTTCTCTTTCACTTGGTATACCGCACATCGTACACACAACACTTTTTCATAGTCAACTCTGTCGTCTTCTGTTTCAGTCGGAATTATTTATTGAATAAAAGTGTAAAATGGCAAAATCAGTAAAAACATCATCTGGATTTACAAAAGAAGAAGAGCTTCTTCTCAACGATTTCAGCCGAAATGTTAGCACAAAATCATCGGCACTTTTCTACGGAAATGCATTAATCGTATCGGCAATTCCAATCTGTAAGTATTATGTGAGCATAACATAAGTAAATTGGGAGTTGAACATAAAGAAAAGCTTTTATTGACACGTCACTAAACCGACTAATAGTAAAACCAAACCAAATTTAGTTTTTATTGCATAGAATTTTATAGTTGACGAAAATAATCACACAATTTTGTTTCGTTTTTTTTGCAGGGCTCTATTGGAGAATTCACCAAATTGACCTGATTTCGGCATTGGTCTTCTTCGTTGCAATTACCGCTTTGAGCACCTATCTAATGGCGATGGCTTATAGAAACACAAAATTCGCATTGAAACACAAAGTTGCTGTGAAACGCGAAGAAGCTGTCACCCGTGAAGTTGCTAAGCAATTGTCCGACGATAAAAAGACCAGCCGTAAGGAGAAAGATGAACGCACACTCTGGAAAAAGAATGAAGTCGCCGACTACGAAGCCACCACTTTCTCCATCTTTTACAATAACGCTTTGTTCTTGGCTATCGTTATTTTCGTCAGCTTCTACATCTTCAGAACAACTTCACCACTTGCTAATTACATTTTGACTGTCAGCGGTTCAAGCGGACTATTGGCTTTGTTGTCAACGAGCAAGCAGACATAAATGTGTTTCATTAGAATATTTATTTTCAAGTATGAAATTATCACGAACATAAATTGATCGCTGATAGCACAGATACATTGTCATCTTTCAAACAGGATTGCTCTTTTTTTTAAACATCTGCATTGCAAAATATGTGTCGCTTTCTTGAAGCACCAATTTTCGTCACTCACTTATTTGAATAGTTATAATCGAAAAGAATTTTCTATGAAAAAAGCAAATAAAATAAAGAATGAAAATGGACTTGACTAGAATTTTATTTTTTATTTTTATTTTCAATTTAAAAAAAGTCTTTTCACATTTCCCTTGAAATTCCATCGGCTCCTCTGGCAATACCAAATTCATTGGTTATGTTATGTTGTTCGTTGGTAGCTCCCTCTGCTTTCTAGACGATATCGTTTGTTTGTCATTGTGTTTTGATTGTTTTCATATAAGAACCATACAAAATAAGTTCAACCATCGTACAATACGGAAAATAAGCAATCAAGTGTATAGTTTTAGTAAAACGACTCCTGAAATCCAGAAAAATATTATTAAAACGAAAAAAAAGTTTGTCGATTTATAATTCTTATAGATAAACGAAGAAAAAATCTACGGAAAACATGGATTACGACGAAGCACCCGTAGAACCAAGCTCAATTGTAAGGAGTACTATTGTTTATTACAATACAAAGTAAAATTATTTTGTTTCTCAGCCAAAAATTAAATTTTCTGGAACGATAAAAAGAACAAAACTTCCACAAAAGCTCTTATTCAATTTTAATTATTAAAACGTTGTAACGTAATGATCCATAAGAACGAGTGCAAAATCAAAAGTTTTCAAATGCATATAAAAATCAAAATAACATGGTATTCAAGCGCCATGTTTATTTTGATTCTGGATGATGATATTTGTATTTGGTATTGAGTTTACTGCTTCGCCATACAAAACTTTTCAACCGATGAAGAGAAAAGCTCTTAACTTATTAATCGATATGTGAATTTCAATTATGAACTGATTTTATCAATTTTTTTGTATGTCTTGGACAATATTATCGAAAAAGGTTCATTCTCGTGAACTTTAAAAACGAGATTGCTCTTGAACTTCTGTATGACTGATGCAATGCCGTTTCAAAACGGTTCAATGTCAGATGGGGAAAATTCAGTTCATAAAATTGAAAATTGAAAGACAATAACTTGTGCAATTCTACATCATAACTACAGTCAAACAGTGCAGTCTGTGGCACAAAAAAAATTCACACAAATAAATTATTCGGGCCTAACACAGAGTATTTTTCATACGCGTGTTTTTTGGTATATGTGTACATATACAATCCATGTGTTCGTTTCAGTCAGATTGGAACTCGGTTCAAAACAAAAACAAAAACAGAAACATGATGTATATAGAGAATATAAATGCGCAATATCCGTGTTTTTAACGTTGCGTTGCGTATCGAGCAGCTTGCGGCAGCTGTAATGAATAAATAATGAAAGCTAGCTTCAGATCCAAATGTAGAACTCGACCGAAGTGTTGAATTCACAATTTTGTTACAATGATTCCTTTTCTTCGTTCTTCCTAATAAATTTTAAATATATGTAAAAGAAAAAATCCGTACAAAGAGACTATAAAATAAAATTCAAATTAAATTGAATATTTGAAAATTCAGTCTGCTTCTTCAACATAGACATTTCATTGCAAATAGCCGGAAAATATATGCAATATTTCGCTTTATATTTGTTCAGTTATATGATCCGTAGAAGTCCAATAAATGGATGCTCAAACGAAATGAATTATCAGGTCAAATGAGGCGCATATACACAAAATTTAAGTGAACAGCATACAAAACGCATAGCGTTGAGACGCAAAACCAAACGAAATCACTGAGATATGTTATGAAGGCGAACAGTTCTCAGTTGACTTGCGAGGCTTGGACTGTGCACACGACAATTTTCCGATTGTGCTACTCGCGTTATCTCGCCTCTTGCGTCGTACTGCTTTTACTTTTAAGTCTGATTGAAATTGTTCTTTTTGTTTCGGGATTGATGTATCGTTAAAAAAGAAAAATCGAATAATATTATTTCTGTGAAATTTAATTGAAGAACATTTAACCTGGAAACTTCAAGTGAGTTTTGATTGTGAGACTCTTCAATTAATATAAATTATATCTTATATTTTTAAATATTGTGCTTATTTGATTTGAAGAGCATTTGTGCATTGCGTCACATATATTCACGTACACGTGCCAATCTAACTTTTTTTCGCGAACATTTCTTCTATGCTGTGAATCAAATCAATCAATGACGAAAAGTTCTTATATTATTCGATGACACAATTTCTACATTTTAATTTAAAACCGTGTAACGTTTCAAGTAAATAATAAATCAGAAGCAAAATGTAACCGCATTCAATGTTTCGGCATCGAAAACTGTTGCGTAGAACGTTTTTCAAATTGCGTCGCAATCAAAAATTTGTGTGTCGCCATTCATTTCGTTCGTACGATTCATCAAGTCTTGCGCGGCTTTTTCTCGGTCCCGGTGTGATATCAACCACGTAGCATGTCTCCCAATATGAAAAAGTGTGTATAACAGCGGACCCAGCTCCACATAAACCAATTGTATGGCAATTCGATTAACAAAGGTCACTGCAATCCATATTATGCACTGATCAGGCGGTTGTATGCGCAAATTTCACACATACAAAATATGATGCATTTCAGTGGTTAAAATCATGCATATATAGTTTTGTTTGTGGTTGTGTTGTAATTTGCATTGGTTTGTGCATGTGAATACATGTAGAATTATTCAACGTATGTATGTGTGCATATGGATGTATGTGGGAATACGCGTTTTTCCAACTTCCGTTTCTAAGTGCGCGTCTCTAATAAAAATGTCCGTTTATGTGTTTGGTATAAAATGCTGTTCAAATAAGCCGCTTTTATTTTTGCGCATTACTTCAAAAGTAGTGGATCTAAAGAGACTAGTACCATACATTGAAGCCTCTTAAATTTATTATGAGTCAAAAATTGAAGAAAATCCATTAAAGGCAGACTCAACAATGAGTGTAGTTTTTAGACAGATAAATTCATGTTTTCGTATTATTCTAAACATCTGAAATTTTCCATTTAATTGATGACCCAGTTCTCTATATATATTTTCGAAACAAAATACATTCGTTTCCAACCAAATTAAGTAACATAAATGACTCTGAATTTTTGGATGACATCCTATGAAAACATTCTGGAAACGAATGATGTGAAAAAAATTGCCGGTAAAATTAAAACGTTGTGATTTGAATTACCAAATAAATTCTAGAAATTACTGTGACTTTTCTTATGCCGTTCAAAAATGCGTAGTAAATGATTTCATATTTCTATAAATACTATATATTGTATTATAATTGCGTGCTATAGCACACAATCAATTGAATCAACACTGCAAGTTTGATGGTGCAGTGGGATTTTACACGATATGATAAAATACATCAAGCGTGCTACAATTTTACATAAATGACGCAGTTTTTTTTGTATTGAATGGTTTTATTCAATCATATTTTTATGTGATGACTTCAATAAAATATATCTTCATGTTTCTGATCCATCAAAGATATTTCACATAAAATATTCTCAACATTTTTTTGTATCAAAAATAGAACTTGTCCTCGTTGATGGATCGTGTCTCACTGTTCATAAAAAATCAATACTAATTTATCCATTTTAAGTCATATATTTTGACCTATAATTCCACTGATTTGCTTTGTTTAGAAGATATTGAAACAAACGATTTCACCGAAAATATTTTTTCAAAATGAAAATAAAAACTCAAAATAGTTGAATGCATTTTTATATGTTTTTTTTTTTGCAGGAACGGAAAGAGAGCGGAAAACGTGGCCGAAAACCAGGTCGTAAAGCATCAAGCGAAAAAATTGACATGAAAGCCAAACTTGGTAAGTCATTTTTAGTGGATATGATGAAATAATGTCTCTAATAAACTATTTCGACTACATGCATCACAGAGCGAAGCCGTCAAAGTGCTCGAGAATGCCGAGCTCGTAAGAAATTGCGTTACCAATATTTGGAAGAACTCGTGACAGATAGAGAGAAGGCAGTTCTCAGCCTTCGCGTGGAACTTGAGAAGGTAATGAATAAATTAAAAAATACATAAAAAATATCGCTGATCTTTTTTCTTCAATTTCAGTATCGTCAATTTGCTCATGAACTTGATGCTGGTCGATTTCCCGAAGGAATGCAAGCAGTTCTTGACGAAGTCGGCGCAATGAAGCAAGAGTGAATCCGATATTGATTGATTTTCATTTTTTTTTAATTTTTAATTTGTTTCATTTTTTTGATATTCTTTGCTTCTCTTGAATTGTTTGGTTTTGTTTTTTTCTTGCTGAATCTTTGAATAATGACAGGAAAAAATGTTGAATTTCATAAATTACATGAATTGAATTGAATTTAATTTGAAAGGATTAAAATTAAATTTCCCGTGGATTTGAGTTATTATTTACAGAATAGTTTATTGGAGATTTTACTTCAATCTCATTGATTTTGAATATTTATGAGGAGAAAATACACAGTTTTAAAAATATTGTACTTTTTACATTTGTAATATCCTTTCACTATTTTTATACAACTGCTGATTTAAAAATACAAACTCTTCGACCTTTTTGGAAATAAGCTAATAAAACAAATTCAAAATTCCGTACATAAGTTTTAAAGATATGTATTATTTACCAAAGTTACCTACAAACATCCTTTTCATTATTGAGTTTGAAAATAACGTAATATCTCTATATAGATATTAAGTGTATTCTTGTGAATTTGTACAAATGAAATTCAGGAAAATACAACTAATTAAAATATATATATTTGAATATGTTCTGTTTTTGTTATAAAAATTTGCGACCAAAGCAAGTTGATTAAGATTAAGACTTCCCAATTTTACGGAGAAGCTCTCTTCGGAACCGGTCGTAATCATTGTGACACTCGATGCTGTGCACACATTCGTGTTTCAATTCATTTAGCACTTGACATATGTCATTGGTGTTTTGTTTCACTGCATCAGTAATTTTTTGTTCCCACAAGTAACTTGGGCAAAGACTAAGAAAATTATCGATCATGTCTTGATCTTGAAGCATGTTAGTGTTTCTCAGCAATTTATTACACATCTCAAAACATTCTAAATACAACATCACCTCTGACTTATCTTGTCGATGGCCTATTCGTAAAAAATTTCGGAACAAAGTTCTGCCAGTCGGATGAACAATTAACGTTTGCACATTCATCATCGAAAAATGCTCAATTTCTTCATACGTTAACGCAGTACAGCCGCAAAAACAACGCATCACACGGAAGTCACTATGAACGCTTGATTCAATGTCAATATTGCGCTCCCCTCCTCGCGTTTGTCTTGGCTGATATTTTTGATTCGCACCGCCGTATGCCGAATTATTCCGCTCACGTCGAGACATCTTCTGAATATAAATAGATCCGATCACTCGTACATTTATTCGATCACTTTCGATTTTCTATTATTCCTACATAAAAATGAAACAATACACAAAATTTTCATGGTTTAAATTTGAAAATTAGATGGAAAATTTGAAAATTATTAAACGAAAACAACTAATTTGTGCACAGATTCGATGGAGTTTTGGCAATTGTGATCGACTACGACTGGCGTTTATCCACATTTGTTTCTGCTTGCGCTCAACGCAACGACTACGTATTGCTCGTATCTTGTTTGACATGCTCAAAGAATCAGTCAAGATAAGTGGGGATGACGCTTTTCAAACACGAACACGCGATAAGCCGTTTGATCAAATAATTCTCAATAATTTGAGCAAAATTAGTTTGAATAAAAAGAATTACATTCGTAATCCCAAACTTTTCCGTACCATTGTCCGGACTTTTGGTTTTTCTTATATTCTTGAGAAATCGGTCACTTTAGTCAAAATTCGAAACTTTGGTAATTTCCGTAAATCAATTCCTATTGGCTTCAAACTTTCTGAGGTTTTATTTTTTGGAGAAGAAATAAGATTTTGAAGTAAATCGATTACGAGTACCTCTCATACAAAATTGTCGAAATTTTGACTAAATTTACCGATTTTTCGACAATTTTGTATGGGAGGTACTCGTAAATCGATTCCGATTGGCTTCAAACTTTCTGAAGTTACATTTTTTTTGAGAAGGAATAAGATTCTGAAAGTTACATGTTGATCGCATTTGAAGAAATTTGGTTTGTGGCTCTCAATTTTTGTCGAAGATTTCCTTGGATGCTACCGATTAAAGAAAAAACACACAATTTCAATTTTTTTGATAACAATGATAACAATTTATGATTTTAATCACATCTTATTTTACACTTTATTATTACAGAAGATAGACTTTCGTGTTGATGACGAATGGCGAAAGGTATTTTATGTATTTATTTTCTCAGATTTATTTTGGAAAATAATTACGATAGAAGTCACGCAGTACTTGTAATTTTCGGAACTTCAAGATTCATGTCTTCAGATATTCCATAACATATATTCAAGTTCGCTGAAGACTTTTATTTTGCATGATTATTAATAATTTTTTACATTATTCAGTAATATTTTTTTCAACTTGAAGATAAAATGTGTTTTACACACAAAATATTTACCGTTGAAGAGTGGGAAAAAAAGTTCGAATAATTTGAAATTAAATACGAGATTGCATGAAATATAATGGAAGAAACAAAGAAATGAAACAATAACATGAAATATTATTATTCAACAAATTAATTGATCAAAGCTGTCTTTAAATAAAAGGGTCGATGCAGAAAAGAAAGAAAGAAAGAGAAGAGGAAAGTGAAATATTGAATGCGAAAGGAACAAGCTGTCAAAGAATAATTACCAACGAAAGTTATAAAGTTATCATTCGCAAAGTCTTATATATATTTTAGATCCACACTATAACTTTCTAGTAACAAGTACATGTAATTCAACGAAAGCACGATGAAGATGAGTGCTTGTCTAACACTCGACGAGGCCATCAAATGAGTATAAAAAGAATTGAACTACTCGTGTGATGAATATTTTCAGAGTGCAAATGCAAAAGTATTTTCTCGCCGAATGTTAACATTATGACCAATTTCACAAATCAATCCCAAGTCAATCTAAAGTTTTCGTATTGTTTTTCACGCAATTGCTTTGGTAATAATCTTTTTTCCATACACTTTATTTCGCTTGCGTTTCTTCTGCTTTGCTTTTGTTTAAATTATTCGCTATGACTAAAATTGTTCATACATTTAACTGTTAAAACCAAAGAAATTCGGTTGATTCTATACATTTTTATGATGTAATTGCAAAGCCTTCCCCATTCTCTAATGGCTGTAGTCGGTAAAAATGAACGGGGATTTCGATGTTATGTGTGAATTGGTTGTTTGTGTGGCCACTCGTTGATGTTGTTTCTTTAACGGGCTCATTTTCATTGGGTACATTGATGTGAAATGATGATCGGGTTTGTTGATTTTGTGGCGGCGCCGGGACGACCGTTTCAACGTTCGTCGACGGTGACCGTGACATGTACTCAGCCGATTGACTTCCGGCTATCGGCCGAAATTCTGTTGAATCATCTTCGTTTTCTTCGCTGCTTGATCGCATTCTTTCGCGTGTTAGTAAATCTCTACGCAGCTGAGCGTACTGTTGCTGGTGATGCAATTGGTGTTGTTGATTGTACGGTTGATTGTTGTACGGTGTATCCGATTGCGAGGGAGAAAATAATTTTGTTTGCTCTTGTTGAGAAGTGGCTGGTGCTTCACGCAAATGTTGTGGTCGTGGCAAATATTCTTGGTACTCTCCTGATGATGAGGATGAGGATGAGGACGAAGACGAAGAGCTCTGCTCTGATGATTGTGGTCTCTGAGCACTCACCTGTTGATACTTATTGTTTGTAAAATCCGTGTGATGATCGTAGGTTGAAAGATGTTGAGGGGAATCATGATGTCCATGATGATGATTTAAATCGTGGTGATGGGAATGATGATATTGGGGCCTTTTTACGGGAATGATAATGGGATAAGGAACCTGTAATTTTGCAATGATATTTTTAGTATATGACCCAATCCTATTGATTGAAAAAACGAATATACTAGTTAATGTAAATATAAAGGTACGCGAAAATATTACCTTTTTTTCAATGGTGTAGGGAACTGGCTTTTCAATGGGAACTGTTATTGGATGATGTTCATCGAGGAAAAAATAAACACAATTTTAAAATATTATTGCATTTGGATGTTTTGTGAACTAGTTACCTGGCACTTTGATTTCAACAGGAATATGTTTAACTACAGGATAGGGCTTTTAATGAAAAGGAAATTCATGTATTAGAACAACGCAGATTACCGATTAAGGTAAGTAATTTTTTTAACATCAGTAATATACCTTGGGGACATGGACAATCTGAAAGTAGCGTGAAATAGATATTTTAGCACATAAAAAAGATGAGAACATATAAGAAATCATCATTCCTATGATGATGTTACTTACTTTTTCAACTATTTTTTCAACCGGAACGGGCACCTAAGTGAAGATAAACATAAGCATTTTAATTTATTTTAAACGATGTTGGTCTTAAATTTCTTCCTCTGAACAAAAGATATAAATCATCTGTGCGCACATTTACATTATGTGTGATATTCGTAGTGAATGTCAAAGTTTACATAAAATTGATTAAAAATAGTATTTTTACAATTACTTTATGTTTTTAACACTTTCACCATTTTGTTTCATTTAGCAATATGTTTTCATAAAAGCAGTAATGGTGCAAAGAGTAAACCCGTTATGCAGGGATATAAAGTTTACCTTCACTTCCTTCACCTCAGTCACTTTAACAGGGTATGGTTTTGGAATGACCTTTTCTATTACCCTATCAACCTAAGAAAAGCAAAAAGAATGGTTGATACACACTTCTGCAAGCATAGGGTGACTTGAAATTCAATTCTGTTTGAATTTTTTCAAGCTAAAGCTTTTTTTTTAAGTTGAAAGTGCTTGAAATGCAATTTGTTAAGATTCTTTGGATGATTTAGAGCTAATTTGACCAGAAATTTTCTTCATGAACACACACAAGTGGAACTACAAAAAATCACAACCAATTGCAATGATGTGCATAAAAATATATGAAAAGTGATAGTCAAATGACTGTTTTGCATTTTTCAGTGTCTCTCAAATAAGTTTAAATGCAGATATCGCCAACTGCTGGACGGATCTAGTGCACTAAAGCGCCAAAATGTTTCTCGTGCTTGAAAAGTTGAGTCGAAGAGTATTTATAAATTACCGGATATGGCTTGGGAACCTATAATAATTGTGAATAAATTAAAATCTAAAATTTGCATGGTTCATAACAATATACACACAGAAATAAAATGTGGTAGGTTTGTGCTATCTATTGGTGACGAGTATAGTTACCACAAGTCTTAGAAAAGTTAACCCACGCACCAAAATATTACTATGCACAGCACAAATGCATTTTTTGGTTTGAAAATTCTCGGAAAAGCGCTACTGTGGGAAATCGAGAAATCGGGGAAAGTTCAGTCCAGTCTCAATCGATCGGGCGGAAAATTTCATGTGAGGAAAAAAACTTGCCGATATTTCCGAATTTTTTAATTTATCTCAGAAATGGATGGTTTTTTCGCTTGAAAATCGCCCTTCGGGTCGGTATTTCACATGAAATTTTCCGCCCGATCAATCCCGACTGGTCTGAACTTTCCCCGATTTCCCGATTTCCCACAGTAGCGCTTTTCCGAGAATTTTCCAACCAAAAAATGCATATGTGCTGTGCATAGTAATATTTTGGTGCGTGGGGTAACTTTTCAAAGACTTGTGGAAACTATACTCGTCACCAATAGATAGCACAAACCTACCACATTTTATTTCTGTGTGTAACAATTTTGTTGGTAAACGCTTTCCCAACTGATAAATGTTAAATGGAAATGTAATTTTGAATTGAGCGAAGCGTTTTCACAAGCAAATATGTTAAAGATGAAATTTATATAAAATATCGGTGTAATTACATGGACCAATTTTTCGACGATTTGCGGGACCTTTATAATCTGTAGATAACGGAATCCAAAGCAATTAATTTGAATGCTTGAGGCAACAAAGACTTAATAAAATTTACCTTTTCAACTGGCACCTGTAGAATTGGATTACATAGTGTTAGAAGTTGTCTACAGGAAATTGTTCATTGTGATTGGACAGCAAACAAATCCAAAAAATATTCTTCATTTTTTTCTTCAGAATAGTAAACGATTTGCAGCATTTATTGCAATGAAAAATATTTTATTGGATAGGTTTTTTGATATGTAATCAAATGAAAAAAGCGCCACAATTATCATTGGTAACAATTTTAAATAGTATGGATGGGATATTTGACAAAAGATAACCAAATAGCAAAAACAGTGATAAAAATTTAAAAATTTAAAAAAAAAAATTTATCAATGACACTTCATATTTTCTTTCTAAAGTAACTAAAATCAATCATACCTTTATAATTTTTTCTACTGGTACTGGTTGGGGCACCTAAAGCAGCAAAAATTTATAGTATCATCATTGATTCTTCTTCCTCAATACTGTCATAAACTTACCTTAACAATTTTTTCAACCTATATTAAAAATCAAATATTAGGAAGTGATTAATGAGTCAAAGCTAGCTTATAATACACACGGCTACTTACTGGGAAAGGTTCTTTCTTCACTATCGTCTGGAATTGAAAATGATAGAAAGCCAGATTATATTTGGACTATCGTACAATTGAGTAAGGAGTACAACTTACCTTAATATGATTGTGATGATGATGGTGGTGATGATCTGATGACAATATAATTAAATAAGAACTATATTAAACATCTTAAAATAAATATGCTGATGAACTGAACATCCATCAAATTCTTCTGTTTTATATGTTTATTTATCAACCCCAATTTATGCCCAGAATGATCAAAACAGTTCCAAGAAACTATTGAAACTGGTATTAATTTTGAAAATAAAATATTTTATTCAATTCACTCAAAAAATGCTTACTTGCAATTTCACATCTGTTTCACTACTTTACACCATTTCATCGACAATAAAAGATATTAATTATTCTCATACAATTAGGGTACTTACGTTTTATTTTGATTTTTTGCTTATGTTCATAATGATGATCGGAACCAGCGTTATCTTGGTCGGCTCCATCGACGTCAATCATTTTTTCCACTTTCGAACTTTCTGCGGCAGCTGTTTCCTGTTGTTTGCTAGTATACCCAACATGTTCGTGGGTTTCGGATTCAGAATGTGAACCATGATCACGATCATCTCGGTAATTAGATTTCACAGGATATAAATGAATTTGACGAATTTTGCCTCTGCGTCCATGTTTTTTCACTATGTGAATATTAAAATCTTTTTTTGGGCGCCACTTTGATTTTGATGGTCTACTAACTGATTCATCATATTCGTCACCATCTGGCTCGGATTCATCAAAACGAATGGCCGACGCTATTGCAATCGTTGCAAGCACCAGCAAACAAATTGCCTAGTTACAAAACAAACACGAAACAAAAGAACATCATTATTATCCACAATATATGAAAATTTTTAGCACATTCATGTATCCAAAATTGAGCAGTGATGAGAATTTTATCCACTGATGTATTAAACCAGAAAATCACTATACCACTTGGAAGTATCTCAAAGAAACTACACTCACCGTTAGCTTCATTACGATTTTTGATAGTGAACAACGAAATAGAAAAGACGATCTGTAGCTCAAAACAGTGGAATCAAGTCTTTTATACCTTTTCTCAAGTGCCAAGTTCAATAAGCATGGTACGCCATTGGTTTTGAATACAAAGGAAAAAACTAGCTACGAAATACCATCAAAGAGTGGAAAACTTGGATTTAATTAATCCATTAATTTTTTTCACAGTGCACACTATTCACTTTCGCTAGCGATTTTTAACATGCACTTTATTTGTTTGTTTTGCTGCATTTTCTTTCTCTTATTTCCCCATTGAATGAAAATGGATTGTTTCGCACGAGCCAATGCACGTGTTTGACTTGTACCGTCGTGTACTCTGTGCATTTTCTCATGTTGTTGGCGGAGTTTTCACGAAAAAAAAAAAACATTGCGGCCAAACACATGAGGTACATCAAAAATTCACATTGTTTGAACATCGTCTGCTGGTTGGAAGTGATCGGTGGTGCGAATCACTTTGAACATTTCATAATTAATCAATGTGTGAGTGTGAGTTCGTTCATATTGCTACAACTTAACCACAATATAACGCGAATCTTGCCTCCTAATTGATGAAATTCGTGCGTGTACAGTACACCTAAACAAAACTGCATGTAAAGATATTTAATCAATATTTCATGCTTTGTTGAAACGAACAAAAAGTTTTACTATAAACAATAAAAGAGCTCTGAACATGGAACAAAAACAGTACCGTTTATTGCTCTGTACGTGCTTTTTCCCCCACAACAAAAAGATGCGCAATTTTTCAACACAACTTCTGGAAGCAATTTCATTCAATAAACGCACGCACACAATTTCAAGTAATAGTAAATGGGAAAAAGAAATGAAAACACATTTTGACGCCATAATAGATCATTGTATAATCTCAAAATCGAATTGTAATCGCCTTAACAATCAAAAACAAAAAGGCATTTCGTTTTGACGTATCTGCTTTGAAATTGCAATTGAACGCATATAAATTGTTGAATCAACTACTGCAGAATGAAGACGATGAACTTGGTAAAACATTACATCAAACATAATTCATAGCATTTTTAGCATTTTTTTCCCTTCTTCCACCAATTCTTGTTTTTCATATTCGCGCTGTTTTTAATAATTATCACGGCAATAGGTAATGCGTCAATATAAATGACCGGAATAAATGAAAAAGAGAAATACCGGAATAAGCTAAACCGAAATCGTTCAAGCTCTCTGCAGAAAGAAAAATGTAGCATTAGATCTGATCGATAAATACAATTTGGATTTGAACAAAACAAACAATTGATTGATTTTAGTGACACTTTATTCAGGAAAATATTCATTGCCATCTTATAACTAATTTATCGCAAATAAATACTTTGTTCTAAATGACTAGTATTTGTAATATATGCCAATATATGGAAAATATATTCCCAATATTCGATTATTTTTGTTGAAGATGCATTGTATCTATGCTAGTAAGTTCAATAAATTATTTGAAATGTTGGAAAGAAAATTAGTGTCAATGGTTATTCAATATAATTTCAATCGGACGTATATATATACAAACATATATGTTAAGTCCATTATTCTTTACAGAGGGTGCGAAAACGTTTGATCCGAACAGCCCACAAAAGATATACGCGCATATGACAAAACTTTCGTGGCTCAATATGTACCACCTGGAACCAGAAGAATTACGAAAAATGTATAACATGTAATTTTAACAATTTCCGGTCGCTAATTTTTCAGTATGAAGATTGTTTTGTATCGATGTCGATGTTTTTTTTACGTTATTCATTTGTTTTTGCATTTCATACGCTTTTACTTTGCACTTTTTTAATAGCACGTCACGGTGTTTGTTTTTCACACGCGCTTTCAGCAAATCAACAATGCACAATTGGCGTTCCTTCGATTAGTGTATTATTCAGAAAAAAAATTATACATACATACATATACATGTATGATACATATATCGTTGTAAGTGGTTGTTAGTTGGTCGTTCGATTTCGTTATGAATAAATGAATAATGATCGAGACTCAGCTCAAAAAGAAAAGTATCTGGCAAAATAGTGCTGATTATGTGTCACAAAATGTGTGATGGGGCCATTTTCCCACCACATAATCTCAGCGGTTAATCATTTTGTTGTCGGATAATAATACAGAACGGTGTTCCCAGACAGCTGCCAATGAGAAGCCTGAAGCTCAATAATCATCAACAAAGTTCGACGAATTGTTGGGGCGGAAGCACTCGAGTTCAGAAACGCGTCACGGACCAAGGAGAGCAATATCTCCAGTTGTTGAGGAAGGTGTGTTTCAATGTCGCGTCCAACACAAGTTAAAACGTAGAATAAACATTCAATCTAAATGAATCAATTCCATTACTAACAAAAATTGTTGAATGATTTGATGACATCACCTCTGATAATGATCGAACTGGGGATCTAACGCTTTCCTCGCAGCATTTCGATAAAACGGTTAGCAAAACGATAGGGGGCGGTACACCATCACATTTAGTCCGTAGTTGTAATTGACGTCTCTTCAATTGACAAAACCTTCAATTGGTATAAAAAATAAAATAGGATATTACTAGTGCGATTACTCCTCCTAATTTTCTAGGGATTGATCGTAAAATTGCATATGCAAATAAAAAATATCATTCTGGTTGAATTTGTTCGGGTGTTACTAATGGGTTACATTTCAGTGAGAAACGCCATGAAGGCTGTAAATCTAGGTCTTGCAGAGTTTTTAATCTTCTGTGGTGAACCCAACACCACCCCACGTTCCTGGTACCATAGTCGGCACGTATTGAGTAAAGCTTCTAAGTACGTTTCCTTTTGCTCTTTCGCAATTATTGTGATACAGAACCGTGATGCTGGTAAAGCAAATCTGTCGTGAAAGAATTTTTTTTTATGTAGCATTTTGCGTGTTGAAAGAATTATGCAGAAGACTGCTATAGATATGATTTTCTAATTTCAATCAAAGCACATTTGAAATATAAATATATATACCGTCTCCCTTCGACAGCTCTTTGCATTATTTGATTTGCCAAAACCATCAAAGTGCGAGCGTTCAATTTGTTTGGATCGATTAGCGCTTGTTCGACAATAGCTTGAATTTCTGGTTTGAATGTGCCAATGTCATTTGCTTCATTTGTGCATCCCACATTGACCAGCCCAAGTGAAGCGATTCCCCTTGCTAGTGCATCAGCAGACGACAATGATTTTGATCTCTGAAGTGAATTCGTATTTGTATTATTTGAATTCATAGATTTTAGCTCTTGATTGCCTGTTTGATCCGCAAACTTCACTTTTGAAGCAGTAGACTTCATGAAAATGAAAAAAGAATTTTTTTTATGTAGCATTTTGCGTGTTGAAAGAATTATGCAGAAAAAAAACTTGTTTTCTTCGTCAGTGCACTTACACTCATCGGTATTGTACTCGATGGTACACTGTCCACTCCTAAACCCATTCGCTGAAGCTGTATAGGATGCGAAACCAGAATTGTACGGGGTGAATTTATGTTTGTCATCTGCTCAGCGTGGTGTCTAGCAACTGCTAATTGAATCTGATGTTGGATATTCCCACTTGACTTTGAGTGCTGCAGATATTGTGCGTTTGGTGAAGAGAAGAATCCAACAGGCTGCGTGTTTTGCACATCGCGATTGACCGTAAACTCAGGGGCATTCACATTGAGTTTATTTTGAGCTGAAGCACCATCTGAGCGAATATCTGAATATTGAACATATCAAATACAAATCTAAAACACAATACAAATCAAAAACAATTTACTTGGCGGTCGATATATTTCTATAGCTCTCTTCGAACGCAATTGTTGGTGTTGTTGCTGCTGCTGAATATCATGCTGCATTGTGAAAGCAAGACTACGTCTCTTGTTCTGGTGGTTTTGTGTACGCACGAAGCTGCGTTCGCGTGTCAGTCCTGATGTTGCACCACCAACTACAAAACCTTGCATATTTTTACCATTCGATACCATCTCATTGGCCATTTCGAAGTATTTTTTACAACTCGTTTATACTTATATTTTTTTGCATAAAACACAAAATTGTTGCTTACAAAGTTATATCACATTCAGTTGCACATTTTTGACTACTTCTTCTTTATTATATTTATCTTTGGATGTTTTTCTCAGGTACACTTCGCTTCAAACCTGCAAAAACAACAAGATAATTTTATCCATACATTTTTTTATATTTTGAATCATTCACATAATTCTCGTTTGTATGCGAAACACCAATACAATTCCAAAGACGGAATCAGATTTGTGCTGTTCAAAGCCGTGCTTTGTGTATAAACATTATAGGAGTACTGTAAATATTTTCGTCGCACATTTTATCAAAACTCGTTTACTAAATCAGAATGAAATTTCCATTTTTTTTCCTTCATTATTGA